TAGGCTTTACTTACTATACTTATTTTATTAATCACTGAACGGCCTTTCAAAAACAACCATTCTTAAATCCACTAAACCTGAATGGTACAAACAATAACAAGCTTACTTGTTCAACAATAGACGCCAGTCTTCCTAGAGCCACTCCACACTCATCATCTCTTGTGATAACAGCTGATCCAAGCTTAACAACCACTCTCTTTGCTTTCCGTTTTAACTCTGATCTAAACGCAATTCCCTTTCCAATGTTCGAATGAATGGAACTGTTTATGCCTCTGTCTAGCGTAGAATAAAATCTTCCACCAGGGCACAATTTCGAACGCCGAAAAAAAACGTTCCGCAACACGTAGGTTGCCATTACAGCACACATTGTTTTTCGGAAAAATGAACGAGCAGTCACTCAACACAATGACGATATCCCAGCTGGTCGCCCGGTATCGCTTTGCATTCCACAACTTGCGTCTGCGTGGCAGTCTATCGGTAGTACTCGGTAATCAATTCATGCTTTTTGCACCACGATCCTTTTGGCCAGCTCCAAGAACGCGAGCGGTAGCTATGTCGTGTAAGGTATGTAAAGATACCTGTTTTGGATACCTCGTCCCCAGGGTCTTCTCCTCGACGATTTTGGCGGCTCGTCGGGAGAAAACCCTGGTAAAAGCTGGGTTCACGTCGTACAAAATCTCCAAAAAATCTTGGAGATTTTTATCCCATGACATTTTGAGTAGACCAAAACAAAATGGCAGCCAAAGTTGAGTTGGAAATTTGCCTTAGAAAGCGGAAACGTTATGCACGAGGCAGTGATGGCCTCCTAGAAAGATAAGACGTTATATTCGCTGGGTTTTTGGACGGCGTTGACAAAATCTGGATCGGACCGGATCACGGATCGGATCAAGGAAAAAAATTCAAAATTCAAAATTTTGTTGAGCAAATTATACTAGAGTGACTACTGTGAGCAGAACGTTTTATTTAACTGGGAGCTGGTCACAGGCTGTTGGGTTTTGACTGTGATGATCAATCATGTCTTCATATCTTTCTACGCAGTTCAACTATATGATATTTCGTATATTCACTTGCACTCTTCACCATCTACGGGTATATTACGAACTCACAATGTGACCAATTCCCAGTTGGCTTGATAGCTCAGTTGGTAGAGCACTGTAC